TAATTCGAAATAGCATGTCCACATTGAGTGGACCCTGAACTGAAGTTAAGGATGGCCGGAACCAGTGCCGGCAGGGCATCAGGTTAGGACTGAGAGTGTGGAGCTGCTGCCTCAGGCTAGCCCAGGGCTGTGCTTAAAGGGACCCGACCTCCCAGGTTTCCCCCTCCCATCTTCTACCCTCTCCCTTCCCCTCTCCCACATCCTTTTCCCAGTCAGAGGTTAATCCCCACCCCACCCTCAGTTTTGTTAAATAAAGAGAGTTTCTATTTTTGAACACGTGTCCTTTATTTTGTACATCAGGAAGGGGGGCTAGGAAGGGGTAAGTGGAAGGAGGTGAGGGAGGAATGCGGTACGAGCCCCCGATGGAGAGGACTGGGGTGGCTCTGCAGGCTCCTCGGGGGGGAAACTCTCCTGCAGACCCCCGATTGACCTCCCGGCCCAGATGGCAGCCTGCGGCAAGTACAGCCGGGCTGATGGCCGAGTGCTGTGATGTGCCGAGTGTGGGCATTCAGGGCACTCCAAGCCAGGACTGCTTTGCTGTCCCTCATCAAGTTAGACAAGTGAGCGGGGAACCCCTGAGAACTGTCTGTCCGGGGTGGGGGTCGGGTTCCTTTAAGCACAGCCCTCGGCTAACCTGAGGCAGCAGCTCCACGCTCTAAGTCCTAATCTGATGCCCTGCCAGCACTACTCCCGGCCATCCTTAACCTCGGTTCAGGGTCCACTCAATGTGGACATGCTAGTTCAAATTAGCAAAATGCTAATTTGAACTAATTTTTAGGTCTAGATGCACTAGTTCGAATTAGCTTAGTTCAAATTAACTAATTCGAATTAAGTTAGTTCGAATTAGTGCTGTAGTGTAGACATACCCCCTGAATGTTTAATTGAACAAATCTTACTGTCAGGAAACTGGTCAGGATATTTTGCCTCAAGCCTCCTTTTTATATTTTCACCCCATGGCACCTAGATAGAGCTCTGTCCCCCCCCCCCCATTAAACAATTGCTTCTGTGGAGTTCACACCTTTGATATCTTAGGAGCTCACTTTCACCATCAGCTTATTTCATTTATTTAACCAAGATACACATATTAAACCTGTAGTTAAAACATCCTTTATAGATCTGACCAGACAACTCATCTTTTTTTTCCTGAATGCCCTCCAGTTTGTCAGTACCTTTCTGTAAATGAGCAGGGCAGAAGTTAAACAACATTCACACTGGAGCCCTATACAGAGGCACAATTAACTCTCTGCTCCATGATGTCCTGCCTCAAGAATCCCAAAATGAACTGGATTATCTTTTTTAATTGCCTCATTGCAAAGTTATGCTTTGTTTGCTGGTCACTATTATCTGTAGGCTAATTCCACATTATTGCTTTCCAGATTTGTCCTCTACCACTGATCTGGATTATTTCCCCGCACCCCCATTTCCTAACTTCATTATTTTTTCCTATTAAAAAAAAAAGCTATCTGTCCCTTTACATTTGTCCACTCTGGAATTTGCTGTTCTTCCCAGTTCAATGGCATTTGCGGTTTTGAATATGATTCATACACTGCCACCCTTGTATCATCAATGAAGATGTTTGTCGAGGGGTACGCCCCGGCATGGGTACGCCCCCCCAAGGTCTCTTTGCCACCATTTGGGCCCCTCGACCAGGGCATTCACGGTACTCCCCCAGTCTCACTACAATGTCCAGGCCCCTCTAGCAGGACAGCTACGGTACCCGCAGTTCCAATACAAAATCCGGGCCCCTCTATCGGGGTAAATCCGGCTCTATCAACCTGGTTCAAAAGTCAGCGCCCCTCTATCGGGGTAAATACGCCGCTCCTGGACCAGGGGTTGATTGTCCAGGGAAGGGAAAATGGGTGGTAGGGGGACCCGGGCCCTCCCCCTCCACCAGGTCCCAGCCCAGGGCCCGTTGGCAGGGACTATGGCTCCTGCCCGCTCAGCAGGGAATCCGGCTGATACGCGCCGAGCTGCTCTCCCAGTCCTTTACCCTGGGCTGCTTCCTGCCACACCCTGGCTCCCCCGTGGCCCTTCTGCCTCAGAGTCAGTACCTGCGGGGGCCACTGTCGGAGTTGCGGGTGCGGCTCTGCCTACCTGGGGTTGGCGGCTGCTGGCTCTGCCTCCGGGTCAGGCACTGGCGGTGACTCCCGTTTCAGCTGCTGCAGAAACACCGGCACGGCCTGGGCTATGCTTTTCCCCTGCAGCATTCCTGGCTGCAGGGCTCTCTGCTTTTATACTCAGGCTCTGCTGGAGGGGCGGGGCCTTCTCAGCCAGCTGGGTCTGGGCTACCCCCTATCCTTCAGTGCGGGGCCTGTCCGCCCCATCAAATAGTTAAATAAAATAAGGCCCAATATGGATCTCTGCACAACTCCCCTAAATGTCTTCCCATCTCAGTGCATTATTGTGTATCATTGGTTTACTGTTCTTCAGCCAGTCCTAGTGACTGTGCTGCTCTTCCAACTGATTTGAATTAATTTGAAGAGAAAATAGATCTGAATTTTAGAAAATAATTTAATCTACCTTTCTCCATTAGTATATTATATTGCCTTCATAATGATATTGGCAACACACTTTCAAAGGGATCGGAGTCCACCCTCTCATTGTGCATTCATAGGTTTTCATATATAGGTTGGACCTCCCTGGTCTAGCATCCTCAGGACTTGACCAGTCCTGAAGGAGGGAGTTTGTTAGACCAGGGGAGGTTAGGGTTGCCGGGTGTCTGGTTTTGAACTGGACAGTCCAGTATTTGAGCTTTCTGTTTGGAAAACAAATTGAGAAAATATAAATGTCTGGTATTTTCTAAATAAGATGTAATGTAGACTGTGATGTAATGTCAAGTGTGTCTGGTATTTTTGTTGAAACCATCTGGCAACCCTAGGGGAGGTCAGTTCTGGCCCCCTCAGCTGATGGACTCTCCTGGGGTCTATAGTAGATCATCAGGATCCTAGCTCCATGGCCATTCTGGGCTACCAGACTCCACTGACCTGTAGGGCTGCTGAGGCTCCATGGCCAGTCCTGGGCTTGCTGGTCCACGGATGTTGCCAGACCAGGGAGCTGTGGATCAGAGAGGTTCTATCTGTACTATCAATTGCAGGTGAAAACAATTATTGGTATGTGCAACCAGCAGTAGCCTGTGCTATGCTGCTGGTCAGAACATAATGGTCCTTATCTGGCCCACCTACATTGAGAGCAAAGGGAGAAGTTGCCCATAGGCCCAGCAATTCAATGGAACCAGAGGCTCCTAGCCACCACTGCTGCTATTGCAACAGCAGCCAGAGCCCCAGGCTCTTTAGATCACCACAGGACCAGTGTACTGTGTGCTCCGTAGGGCTCAGAGCACCTCTCTGGGCAGTGTCTGCCCCAGCTCTTCTGCCTTAGGCCCCACCTCTTGAGGAGCACAGAGCTGGTCCCCCATATCTTGCCCAAGGGCCTACAGAGGTTGTCATCTCCCCTGCATTCTACACACACAAGTGGCAAACACCTTGGTTTGAATACTGTTACTGTAGGGGGCTACCTAATAAGCACTGACATTCTCTTTGTTCTCATAATGTAATCATGTTATACCAGAGCTAAGTTATCTTAAAGTCAGAGGCACCAGACACAAATATGGATCAATTTTATCATTGTTCACAATATTACATTAGTATTTAATGTAGGAAAAGATGAAACTAAGACTTCAGTAACAAAACCTGGAATGAAATTTTTTTCCCATTTCCTTGGTTCTGGAGTCTTAGGACAGATCACATGTAGCAAGGTTTGCCTTTAGTATTTGCAACTGTGATGTAAGGTAAAGTTGTGGAAATATAATTTACAAGTGTTACCCACTTTGAAAACATTGCTGCAAAATATTTCCTCTTAGATCATAATGTACAAACAATGAGTTTACTGTGACTGAACTGCAAAGGGCTTGCTTTCTAATCCTTAGGTAAAGGTGTGAGTAACTTTTTTAAGATCCTGAAAGAATAATAAACAGGGAAATGTCCCAGGTGGGATTCAAAGATTTCCTCTGCAATGTGGAAATGTTCTGACTAGAGGTAGCCTGGCAGTTTATGAATCCATGTGCCTGTTTAACCATTCAATATATTTAGACACCCGCGTGTAAACTCCGTAAGTGCCTTCGGTAGCACACCCTTTCCCCCAGCTGACAATCCCTGTCAGAAACCAGGTGTTCTTGTACTTTGTGGCATGAGGCCCACCGCTGTCCCCACTGCAGGAGTCTTTGGTCCCACTAAGGTCTCCTGCACAGAACATGTTCTCTGTGATATTTAATTTGGTCTCCTGGACACACTCTTGTGTCTTGACACGTGGCAGATCAACTCTCATCAGAACCGCAGAAGTAGCACCTCCTTCTATTAGACGCCCCCATCCGCTCACAGTGGAGAACTTAATGGAGGACAGCTCATACATTGCAAACTGTTTCTCAGGCAAACATATGGGTACCACGTAATCAGTGAAATTAACAGGTGCCTCTAGGCGCAGCAGGGCAATATCATGGTCAGTTTTTCCTAAAATATAATTTTCATGAATGATCATTTCAGAAACCCTCCTTTCTTGCTCCCCTTCATCATCTTCATCTATTCTGTGTTCTCCTGAAAAAGGAAATAAACTCTTGTCAGGTTCACATTGGTAGTAAACTTCTTAACTCCACACAGCTCTTATGGAAGGAAAGCGCTAAACTGACATTCCTTCTCTTCTTACTTACTATTACTACATTTCTTTGGCCACTACTGCAGCCTGCCCAATTAATTCTTGTCTCTGGTTGAGCAGACACAGTATTTGTTACCCCAGAAAGGCCTCTCCTAGAGCCTCTTCCTTCATTCCAGCTTTCTCCCTTGACAGAAGATGTGTTACAGGGCTCAGCAACAGATTTATAGCAGAAGCAACCAGAGTACAGAGGTACTGCTTCTGTAGGGCCCCTTGACAGCATTAGAACTACCCCGCTTGGCTGTTCATTGACTAACTTCTAGCACAGAAAAGACTAGGCTAGGTTCCATGTCTCCTAGAGCCTCTTCCTTCATTCCAGCTTTCTCCCTTGACAGAAGATGTGTTACAGGGCTCAGCAACAGATTTATAGCAGAAGCAACCAGAGTACAGAGGTACTGCTTCTGTAGGGCCCCTTGACAGCATTAGAACTACCCCGCTTGGCTGTTCATTGACTAACTTCTAGCACAGAAAAGACTAGGCTAGGTTCCATGGCACAGTTATATATAGAAGCAAAGTACCAGACACTGGGAGCCAGTGTAACTCCACTGGCATCTGCATTTGCCAGCTGCGGGAGAGAAGAAATGAGAGGGCATAGGTACTGGAACGAGGGGCGCTGCCACACCCTGTGGCTCCCATCATGGACAGCATTTACAGTTTATATAGTGACTCTCAGCACACCCCAGTTTATGAATTGTTCCAGCCCCCCGTCAGAGTGCCACCTCCATAGTTTGCACCCCCACTTTCTCCCCATGTGGAAGACATTCTGGAGGATCCATGGGCCAAGGAGGGAGTGGGCCAAGAACAAGAGGGACTGACTATGCTCTCCCTGATTAAATCATAGAACAATAGGACTGGAAGGGACCCCGAGAGGTCATCGTGTCCAGTCCCCTGCCCTCATGGCAGGACCTAATACTGTCTAGACCATCCATGCTAGACATTTATCTAACCCACTCTTAAATATCCCCACAGATGGAGATTCCACAATCTCCCTGGGCAATTTATTCCAGTGTTTGACCACCCTGACAGTTAGGAACTTTTTCCTAATGTCCAACCTAAACCTCCCTTGCTGCAGTTTAAGCCCATTGCTTCTTGTTCTATCCTCAGAGGCCAAGATGAACAAGTTTTCTTCCTCCTCCTTGTGACACCCTTTTAGAGACCTTGTAGATTGTACAGCAGACCCATGAAGAAATCTTCTCTTCTGCCATTTCTTG